TTATTACACTTTTTTTATACTTGTCTGAGAATTTTCTAACTCTGAAATAAAATTCCATTGGACTGAATGTTCACGTTCGTGTATCCTTTAGGCTGAAGAAATGAACTACCGTAAAAAGTTATCATTCTTTTTCCTTGACATGGATGTCTACATCCACCAAAATGCTCTGGAGAGGTCAAGTGATATCACACCGTCACTTTCATAATACGCTAGAAATATCGCACTCCATAAATCCTTGACTTCGTCTGGCTTGTCTCTTCGGTGTTTTGAAAATTCACTCAACTTAAATGGAATTTCACAAAAAAAACAAAAACAAAGACAAAGAAAAACAGACAATTTTAAACTTTCATTTTCAACTGTTCGCATCACACGTTTCTGTGGGGAAAATAATCAAGGGACCCGGTAGCACTGGGCACACGATATCATAGAATAAGGTCGCAATGATAATTCTTCTTCTCTTTCCTAATTCATATTCACGTTAATTTTCGATAATCTGGTTTGAATTCCAATTTCTTAAAACAGGGTTAATTTCTTGAAAGTTCAACCTAAAGAATAAAAGTGCTGCAAGACTTAGGATCATACTTGACAACCCATTTCACTCATAAAGCCCTAGCAAGACTGCAACGGCAGCACAAGTTCTTGCCCTTTTAGAGACGTTGGTATTCCTTTGTTATGCTGAGAAAAACATTCACGTCATCGACGAAAAATACCACTTTAGAGAAGGAGGTCGGGCTCAAAGTTTCACTGAGTAAAAAACGCTGCACTTGCAGGTTTAACTTTTGCTTCGAAAACATTTTAACTACTTAAAAGGGATTTGTCCCAGGGGAAATTTCCCGAGTGCAACAATGGCAAAACTGCAAAACTGCAAAACCAGCGGCGTTCATGGGAGAAGCGAGCGACGACTAAAAGAACAAAACGTTCACCATTGCCACCAGATATCTTTCTTATGTTTTTCTGTAGTCTTCAATCAGTCTCTGTTGTCATACCTACGATACGCTCTGATAAACCTCGACTTGAAAACATGAAAATCGTATCCTATTAACATATGACAGTTCACGTCAAATCTGCATAAATAAACATCAAAATTAAGGGCTTTTTTTGTCAATAATTCTCTTCTAGTCTTGATTAACGGATATTGATGGTCAAACTGCTCAAAAAGCAGTACGTCTAAGCTGACTTTCACGTTCTTATGATAAAATATATGTTGAAGATTCTAGATCTCGCTTTAACAAAGACAGTCGCCCACTCATTGTTAAAATTGTTCCACTATAAATAGTTTCAGTTTCCGAATGAAGTCATCAAAAATTACGACAAAAATACTTAAGCAACCCACCGTATTTAAAACGTCACATACTCTCACGTACAATTTAATCTCCTTGTGAAAAAGGAACTTCATCGAATGTTATGTAAAAACCACCCTGACATGCTTAAAAGATCATCTTAAATTTGGTCCTTGACTGACGTAATAAACAAGTTTGACAAAACCTGCCCAGACTTGTACATTCCCCGTTGGGCTTTTCCCCTAGTTAGAGCAGAAAACAAAAATCCCCGTCTAAAGGATTTAAGAAACTTGCACGAAATCATTTTCTCTAGTTGAACTCTAAGGAGACAGGTTCTGCAGAGCGGAGTGTGCTTTAAACCGCATATGATCCAGTGCGGCGACAATAGGACGGAAGTACAGGTCTGTAGGTCTGCTGACAACATCACACTAATTCCTACTCAAAATATATTTAGATTACAGTGCTACACTGTACATGTAAATTGAACCACAAGCAAATTCTATCCTCCCTTAAGCACAACGAACATATTCACGACATATGAAACTAAAACAAGGCTTTATATTGGTTTAGAAGAGAAATGGAAGTCTCTAAAGATGCGCAGAATTTTCTCCCTGTGTGACACAATGAGTAACTCTAAAGTAAATCCATGTCATGTCATACGTGCTCTACAGAAAGCAAGCACCGCCAAGTCAGCATAAGGTGGCATTGGCGAGGAACCTACAAGTACAGACCTGACTATAGACATAATGGACGCATTCTTTCAGCGAAATCGCCACTAGATGAAGGAGGGATGCTGTCGGAGATTGATGGCATATGTGCGTTTTCTTGAGAAATCAATATCTCAGACTTATCCCCGAATTTCTTCACTATGTTTTGCTTGCACATGCCATATACTGGAAGCACAAGGGATAGCCATAGTAAGTCTATTTTCGTCCTGTTTGTCTTTCTAGAAGTAACTAAATCGTTGGTGTAGCCTACGTGTAGCAGTACCCTCCCCCTTAAGCAGTAACGGAGTACCGTTTCTCCTTGTGGGGGGAAGGGTACGGCTAAACGTACGCTATTGTTAGTGCTAGCAACAAATCGTAATTGTAAATCAGTTTTTTGGTGCTGAACTTCAATCGCTTGTGCTGTTTCACCAATAGGACTTCAATTGAATGCGCTAATTATGAATCGCTGGTGTTCTGAGGCAGATCGATAGCACTAAATATCAATCGTAGTTTTCAGTATCAATCGATGGTGTTCGACCTTTATCACTGTTGTTGTTTTTAAAATACAGCAATCGTAACAATATCGATCGCCAGTGTTACCACCGATCGTTAGTGGTAAGTATAAATCGCTACCGTAAAACGTCAATTGTTAGTGCTAATATCGGTTTTTTATTGATTCTACCCCTCCATGGGGATTACGGAAGCAATCAAAAGAATTGTACCCCAAGCGGCACAAAGCAAAGTTAAAAAAATAAACTAAACGCAACCGTAAAATCAATTGACACACACGACAACGCTTCTACCAAGCCAAGCTAGTGCATGGTACCTTGCTTTATAATTGGTCATTTCATTTCCATTTGATCCTTAAGAAGAGTTCCTATTTTCCTTTCATCTTCAGCTAGTAAGAGCTATGTAACACAAAGGCCAACAATGAATTTCCGTACTTAAAACATTACGATGATTGTCCATATATTTCTAGGGTTTTGCAGCATTGCTTGGCACACTTGCCTCAGAACATGGCATGGCTCCAAAAGTAAAGGTGAAAGAAATATGGATACAATAGAGACCTTAAGATACCCCAATTCCGGTAGACGGGTACGGGTGAATTACCGGTAACAATACCCGTGAAATGTGGCTAGGGGATCAAATTAAATTACCCGGACTAAACGTAAAAGGATTGGAATCAACTCTTTGACTTTTGGTAAACATGGCGGCTGCCGAGGCCAGGTTTGTAGTCATATTTTTTATTCGTATTTGTTCGTACTTTTCTTGAATTTTCTCGGTTGTTTTTCGCTTAATAGGGTTCCAAATAATTTGCTTCTTCTTTAAAGTAGACTGATAAGACTTAAAAAGAACCGGTTCTGGCTGAGCTGAGTATTTACAGTGCAAATAAGTATGTACACAAAAACTATACCCTTGATTTCTCAGTCGAGCACAATTGTCCCGCTGCCCATGACAGTAAAGATAAGCTCAAAATTCCTGGAAACTACCCTTTCAAAACACATCAATGGCTAATGAGCTTGACAAGGTTCACAAAAGTGGATGGTAAAATTTTGTCTGCTAAAATAATTTTTCGACTATGAACAAGTCTCCGCAATTCGTCGCTTTCAATGATCAAACAGTTGGTTTTCGTTCAATTTTTCTTTTTAATTAGATTTGACTTGGTCCAAATATAGATTAGACTGCGCAAACTGACCATTAAGCTCATTTTACTTCTCCGCGTCGTCTGCTCTGCTTCCCCGTCATTCCCGTGAGTAACCACGCGTAAAGCCATCTACTTCGGATAAACGGCTAGGTTACCCAATAGTAAGATGATGTCATTACCAAATATGGACAAACATGGCGCCCTACTACTCCTCTCTTGTGTCGTCTTTTGGTTTTTTGCGCGCTGCTTATCCAATAGTGAAAAAAAATTAAATGGCAGCCAAAACATAATTTTCACACCTGTCCGCAAGTTTCACAGAGCAAAATTCGGACACATTAATGGCCGTTTTGATAATTTCAATGGACTGTGACAGATTTGTGTGGAAACCGTCCATCAAAACTCAGCCAATCATGAGTAGATTGTAGAGTAGTGCACGTGGTTCCAAAAGTTAGTCAGTCACATAGTAAACCGCTCAAGCCAAAACCACTTTTGCACACAAACCGACCTCAAGCTTAAATTCATTCGCGGCTAAGGTAAGAAAATTTTCCATTTTAACCATCCATTCGTTAGTAGTTCGCGCATCTTGCAGCCTTACGGATCGTAGGGGAAAGTAAGGAAGTACGGTCTTCGTATAGCGAGAAAAGCTGGCGGTGTTTAGTGCTATTTTTGTTTCTACAAAACGTTTAGAGAAATATTGTATACTATGAGCAATGAGTAGTTAAAGTTGGGTTAAAACCATCAACATCGCACAGGCTTACTCTATATCGCATAAAAGCGCAGCCGAGAGAAATATTAAGATGTTCAACTCATCCTTATCAACTTTCGCCAAGCCGCCATTACGTGGCTATTAAGTGGTTGAGCAGTACTTGAACAGTTGAGGAAATCGAAGCAACAATTAAGAGAATTGGGTATTAAACCACAAACACATATACAATGTTTGAGAAATTTGCTTATCTGTACATTCCGAGAATATATTGAATTAAAGCATTGCCGCAATAAAAAACCTCGCAGTAGATCCTACATACAGGTCTCGTTTAAGACATAAGTTCATTCTTTCATACCGAAAAAATCAAATCATATCAAAGGTATTCGTAACAGCATGGAAGAGGGACCTGTACACCTTCATACAGGGCCTCAAGAGTAATCGAAATGCCTGAAAATCAAATATTGCCCATGTGCAAGGTTAAGGTCAAATCTTTCATGACAGCCCTTGATTTCAAGACAAGCACGTTGACGTGTAGTAGATACCTGTGGCCGAAGCAATTACTCAAACAATACGCATGTAAATTCTCATATCAGCAGCAGTAGTAAACTGAAAATTAAATTGGTATTATTTTTACATGTATCGCTTCAAAAAGTTTTGATATTTTAATCAGAGCCTAACTTCCCTTCACCTCATTGCTGTGAGGAGTTTAATCAACTTACTTTCATATTATGTCCAGATATGGCGACTTACATTCTGTTTTGTATTTTTTTCCAGTTCCAAAACAGGTTTATGGGCTCATATTCGTAAGTTATTAACTCTTATTCTCTACTTTTATGTATGCCACATGCTCAAATACATAATTGTGTAACCCAAGGGGTTTTCCCCTTGTAATAAATGATTGTTCTTTCATTTTGAGATGTACCTTTAAATAGTTACTTGAGATGACTATATACTGTAGGTTGTAAATGAACAAGCCTTAAGGTTAACATAAAAAACATTGATTTTTCCCTGTTTGTCCAAGTAGAATTTTTTAAAGTGAGAACTGTATTAACCCTTCAACTCCCAAGATCTGATTGTGAATTCTCCCCTCTAGCTGCTACACATTTCTGTAAATTAGTTTTGAGAATTTGTTGTTAGATCAAGATAACAACTTTGACCTGCTAAGTGTGAGACTATTCTCATTACCTGTTTGCTTGTTAATGTAAGGATATTATGGGAGTCAAAGGGTTGAGCAAGCCCCTCATGATGTAGACACCTCTACCACTTAACAATCTAATCCCAATTTTTACACCCTTGTTCATTGAAAATTAACCAAGATTTGACACTTACATCAAGCTGATACAGACATACCGAGGGAATTCCTCAACAACTTTAAGTTTAAGTTTAACGTATGAGTAGACTATTGGACTATGATTGACACCAACAAACAAGGACACTACTTCACTGTTACACCTATACATGTGTACATGACCAATTACTGTGGTGACTAGAGGTTTTTAATCACCATTAAGTCACTATGTACATACTTGTGTATTAAGTTTCAATGAATATTCATACCGCACGCCCATCACCTAGGACATTACACTTGACACAGGCCATAGCAAATACACTTACCTATTTCTTGTTTATTTCATTATAGAGAAGATATGGCATTCAGCTTGTCTCAAATTCAGATACAGGATCTAGGGGTAAGAAAAAAACCTGTAACTAGATAAATCATCGTGCAGTATTTTCCAGAAAAAAGAAGCCAGCTTAAAATTCAGTGTCCTCCCTAACTAACAGACTACTTCTCTTATCCCTTCCTAGGCCAAATTTTCAATATGATCCCATTTAAAGTAGCTGTCTGTCATCTGGTTTTCAATCTGTCGAACTTGCAGAAAAATGAGTGCAAATATTGACACTATTGAGTAACACACATTTCCCCAACTAACAAAGAGAGTATACTAATTATTTTGTACAACTCAATAATAATTTCCTTTACACAGATAACTGCTGATACACCAAATATCCACCCAAGGTAAACGATCAGAATTACTGTCATAATCATGTCAGAATACAGCATCTTGTGCATTGCATGTCTACTTTAATTATCATACTGTACATGTGTATACTTGGAAACACCAGCTATCCTTAAAGAAAAAGAGGATTTTAAGAATATTTACATCACTCATTATCCAATACCAGTTATGCCTATGTGGCTCATTATCATTAGTTCACTATGAATTCTTGGAAGCACCAATTTTAATGTTTGAAACTGAGGATACTAGGAATGTCTACATTGCTGATTATCCTGAACCAATTATGAACATGTGATTTGTTATTAAAGCCAAATAGATTTCTTTGCAGGTGATTGGCTAGATGAACACTTAATTGTAGAGCTTAACTTAAGACAATATAAGGCTGTAAATACAGTGTGTAGATTCATACTGTATCATGGCTTCCCTCTCCTCAGATTACTAAGACACCCTTTATATCTCAAAACTCGCTAAACTTTGCAAAAGAACCAGAGAGGTTGACTTGGAAATGACAAGTTTCCAAAGTGTTGAAAAATAAAGTGCAGTTAACCATAATCGTAATTCTTTGAAAAATTTGAATATTTTCCCTCCAAGTGACACACTGCTAAAGATCAAAATTTTGATTTCTTGTACATCTCTACCATAAACTGTCAACACTTTTTAAAGAACAAACAATCCATGTACATATCAAATAGAACAATGCACATTATACTTGTGGGAGTACCCTTGGTCTCTTGGGCCTATTTTTCTAATTAAACTGAAAAGTAAATTAGACAGGGTGTTTATCTACATGTATACAAGCAAATCATATGTAACAATTACCTCGCCTAATTCCAGCAAACTTGTTTGAGTTGGTTCTTATTGATTAATTAAACACATTGTTTAATGGTGAGCAAAATAACATAATTGGGAATGCACATGAAACTGTTGAATACTACTGTATAGCTAGTTCAGATAGAGAAAGAAGAGTCTAAAAGTAGATTTTGCAAAGAAAATAACACTAGGAGTCACGATTCCAACTTAAGCATTTTAGATGGAAGATCAAAATCACTGCCCTCATACTCATTTTGTGGCAATATGCAGGCAACCCATGCAGGAAACCCCTGACAACATGCCAGCAAATCATGGTAACATGCAAGGAGTTCATGACAATATGCAAGGAATTCATGGCAATTTGCAAACAATTCATGGCAATGTACAAGCCATCCATGGCCATATGGAAGCAATACATGCATACAACTGGCATATGCATCTATTTGATGGAACGGTAAGTACCACATAACATTGGTTAGCCAACAGAATATTTACAAGTATTTTGAGCATGTTGAATGATAAATACACAAAGGAGAAAACTGACCTCCACATTAACTAAATTTAGCAACTACTGTGTTGAATTTTGAATGTGCAAGGATCATGTTTTCTCCTCTTATATTAGGTGGTACATAAATTTTCTGAGGATTATTTGCATTTACATATTTCCTGTTTAAAACTGAAGTTTGAGAGTAGAGTGTCCTTTAAACTTTCTTCTGCAAACTTCTATAAAATTCAGAAATAAAATTGAAATGGAAAAGATGAAATTATAAAAATAACCACATTCATGTAAAGTACATGCATCTTTGCAAAATATAGTCCTTATACAAATGCCTGCTATTTTCCATCTGTTGATATATACCACTGGTTTCGACAGTGTAAACAGTAAAAATCACCTAAAAGAATAGATTTGTCCAGATTAAATGAACACCAAACTCACTTTAATGACTGAATAAGGCAATTTTCCATTCAGAGTCAAAAGAAAAAAAACAATACAAGATTGCATTAGTTATGCTTCACAAATGTAACTCAAGTCAAGACTTGGCCACTGCATTTATTCTGTTTGTAGTACCCTGGATACTTCTTAAATTTATGGAACTTGAGAGGGGGCACTTATTTAAGGAGAGCCTTTATTAGAGACTTGGCTGTTATTAAATTTTTCTCACTAATCAGAAATTGGTTCGGTCATTTTGAAACAATACTTCTCCTGTGCACTTTACTTTTTCATGGGGTTTGGGGTGCTTATTCACAGCTGGGTGCCTATTAACTTTTCCTACCTACAGGGTGCACACTTAATCAAGGTGGGCACCTTCTAGAGGTTGCATGCTTAATATAATTAATACATTACTTGCATTTTCCTTTGCTTCAGGCTGTTTTTTTTAATCGGAGTGCATAACAACTCATCTTAATTTACACTTTGACAATCAATGGAAAATTGCATTACTTCTCAAAAGTCACACCAACTTACATGATTAAAGGCTATTTTTGGGCAACAAGGTATTTTACCTGTCAAGGTACAAATATTGCTATAAAAAACTTCTTTATACCCAATATTAGTTTTTTCTTTAACTTAAAACAGGGAGGTGAAGAACTGTAAAAGATCCTGCCTCATCAAAGACTGTTGCATGATAACTTGCAAGACACTCAGGTTAGCAAATAGAGTGATAAAATTTACAAACTTAAAGGTATATGTATGTATGCACATTCAAGAGTGACTGGTTAAACTGAAACAGCCTTGTTTAAGCATTTGTCAATGGAAGAAAACAAGAGTTGAGTGAAATGGAGAAAGTTCACATGAACACTAGAATATTTCTCAGACTCTTATTTTCATTCTTTTCATTTTTCAATCACATAGCAAATTTTCAACAACATATACAAATGTCAAATGTATCTGCCATTCCCACAAAATCTGTGAAGCTTTTGTATTAGTATCATTTCAAGGAAACAAGCTATTTACATGCATCATGTGGTTGATGAAAAAGCAAGGCTTAGCTTTACACCAAACATAATTGATACCCATGGGCATTGCCACTTATATTAGCCGAGTAAAGATGATAAAGTTGTATGTAGAACAATGTAGTACAATGACACTGAATGTAAAGTTTCTCTACTTAAGGTGATTCTTCAGAAAAAGAAAATTACAGAACAAATTTTTTAAAACTTGCCTCCAATGTTCCTTACCGATATCTGTTTTCAAATATACAATAAAAGAGATAGGTCACCATGCTTGTTTATGATACATGATGGGCCAAAATTACCCCATTTTCATATAATTTTTTTTTTGATTTCCCCAATTCAAAGGGGATAAATTGCACACCAAAATTATGCAAAAAAAAAAAAATGTCATTATGCTTGTTCAACAGCTTAAGACTATTGTCAATATTTTCATGTCCTTGGAATGAAAAACAATACTCTGTTCTTGGAATGAACATGCGATCATTCCCCTAGTTACATGAGTTTTAAGAACAATACAGGATGCACAGTGCAAAACTGAGGAATCACTCTATCATAAAAATCCAATGTCTCCATTTATCAGTTCTGTTATAGATCACAAATGTCAAAAGGTGGCACAAAAAAAAGGGGGGAGGTAGCACAAGGTGTCAGCCAAGTGTGTCCCTAATATTCTTCCCACAGTTTGACCTCTCCTGTGATCTATTATTATCCAACTGCTCTAAGTAATGTAAAAATAACATGTCAATCAAGTACAGTAAAATTCAACTTATTATGTTAAACTATACTGATAATTATCTCTCACAAGAGACAGAGATATACTACTATATCAACAACAACCATGATAGTTTTAGATTAGCCTTCAGCCCTTACAGTGATTATGCTTTCCTTCAAAAATGTTTTAAAAGACGTGTTGATCACTTTGGCTAGAGAGACAAATGAATTTTTAAATCGTTTCTCTAGCGATGATGAGTCACAAATTAAACGATTGTGAATCGCAAAGTATAGACTGATGTATTGGCAAGGCTACTAGAAATATGGAGACTACTTATAGATTTAAGCGCACTTGTTTAAAATAACCTATGCACTTCAGCAAATGGTACATTCTGCAATTGCTCCAAGTTTTTAAATTCAAATAGTTTTTTTCGTTCGTGTTTCAAGCTTGATGTAAAACCGTTAAGTTAACCGTCGCGTATCACAGACCGTGTCGAAGTGAAATGTAGAAATGGAAGTCATACTTCTCCATAACCAGACAAGTAGTTAGTACTTGTATGCCCACACCGGTTTGGTTCAAACGTGACGACCATTTTCGAAAATGATCTTACCGCCCTTTTCGCAGCTGTTCTAAGCGCACGAATATGTATCTGTGATTTATCGAAAGCGTGAGCAGTTGGTTTCAAAGTGAGCATGCAATAAACAGATGTAAGTGAAGGAAACAATGATTTTCTCGACGGTCTTCACCATAAGATTAAAAATGAAGGAAAAGAAACTGTAGGAAAACTGGAAGCTAGTTGAAGACGCAATCTGTCGTTCTCTTACCTCTTATACCGAGTAAAATAACCTAAACTCGCTGTATGACACCGTTTTCCAGCAAACGCACCTTCAAGGTTCATGCTCAAATTTCGTGCATGCGCATTGAGACCCGCAGACTGGGAACCAGCGCTGCTCACAAGGCCGTGATAGAAGGTCGCATGATCCACAGCGACCTGGCCAAACATTCCGAAATCACGTCACGCATGCCACCTTCGGACTAGTTGAAAAAAAAAATGCCCGAGTCTAACCAGTCAAAGAATAATAATTGCTTCTGGTGAACAAAAGATTAGATAGGTTTGCATGCATGTCATCCCTCTCAGATCTGACAAAGACAAAACCAGAACGCCTTGAATGAAGAATGGGAAATGTGGAATGGGAAAATGAGGAATGGGGAATAGGGAATAGGGAATGAGGAATGGGGAATAGGAAATGGTGAATGAGGAATGAGGAATGAGGAATGGAGAGTGAGGAATAGGAGATGGGGAATGGGGAATGGGGAATGGGAAAATAAAATGAAAAATTGAAAATTTTTTTCAAATTTTTTTTTTTAAGATTTACTGTTTATAATGAGGAACATATATTTTTCATCGATATCCGCGTTCTCTTTCAAAAACGTTCAGTGGCAAAATATCCTCGGATATTCCCCCGGTTTTAAAAGAGGAATATTTGTTAATGTGACGCGTTTAGACCAGTCGCGAGCGAGAAAATATTTGATGGATTATAATCGAGGATATGTCCCATGCAATATTCCCTAATTTCAAGATCTACGTCCATTACGATAAGTCTTCGTTTAAAGTCAATTTAAGGAGAGAGAGCGTTTTGTGGTTGTTGTAAAAGAGGGAAACATGTTTGTTTGTTCATAAAATCGTACTAGAGAACGCTGAAAAGTGAACATCCCACACATTAAACAGTTAACTTTTTGTAAACACTTTTTTTACTGTAATTTGCAAAAACATTTTAAGGATAATAAACCAAATAGCCTCCATTTTGCGAAAAATAAAATGAAAAACGAACTTTTTTCCCATAGATATCCATCTGTGAGTTCGGATTGTCGTACGGAGTTAATAGTGACTTGGACTCTGAAAAATTCAATTGGGCTAACTCCTTTAAAAATTACAATTTATCAATAAAACACTCAAATGGCCCCTTCACCAATTTCAGAAAATTTGATTCAACCTATCACTTGTTCATGAAACGAATAAAATTTGTTTTTGCAACATTCTTTAGCTGTCATGTATCACTTCTTTTTTATCATCAATTTACTCCGTTCCTTAAATTTTGTCTCTCAAAATTTTTTGAACGAAAGCGTGGATATCGATGAAGGCCACTGAATTAATTTTTATTCGCATGATAAACATAAAATTTCCAAAAAATTCATTTCCCATTTTCAGTTTCCCATTTCATTTTTCCCATTTCCAATTCCTATTTATTCATTCCCACTCCCCATTCCCCATTACTTATTTCCCATTCTCCATTCCCTATTCCCAATTTTCCATTCCCTATTTCCTATTCCCTATTTCCTATTCCCTATTTCCTATTTCCTATTTCCTATTTCCTATTCCCTATTCCCTATTTCCTATTTCCTATTTCCTATTCCCTATTTCCTATTCCCTATTTCCTATTCCCTATTTCCTATTCCCTATTTCCTATTCCCTATTTCCTATTCCCTATTTCCTATTCCCTATTTCCTATTCCCTATTTCCTATTCCCTATTTCCTATTCCCTATTTCCTATTCCCTATTTCCTATTCCCTATTTCCTATTCCCTATTCCCCATTCCCCATACTCCATTCCTTATTTTCCAATTCTCATTCTTCATTCCCAGGAGCCCATGATGGGCTCCTGTCATTCCCTATTCTCGTTTTCTATTCCCATTCTCCGTTTCTTAATCTCCATTGTCCGTTCCTCATTCTTCATTTCTCACTTTCCATTTCCCATTTCCCATTCCCCCCTTAAGTAAAATCTCTCGCAAAGCCCATTGTTTGCACCTCTAGGTTCTATGCTCATTCAAATAAGCTGTCCATGAAAACTGTAGGTTTATTTCTCTCTTCGTTTATGAATTGCGATCTTAATCACTGAAAAAAAAAAAGCATGCTGAAAGATTCCTTGGACGCAATTTTATCATACGTGTCGCGCGTGCCTCTTACATATTGAGGATATGAAATAACAACGATGCCACGGGTTAGAAACTTATCAAAGGTAGAAGTTTTAGGGCAAGCCAATCTCTGTTGTTCCTTAGTGAAGAAATACGGCGAGGACCGGAACAGAGACGCGGAAACCGAATTCAACAAAAGCTTGTTATCAAAAACTACAGTTGTGAATATCTTCAATGTATCAGCTGGTAAAACAATGCGGGTGTCGCGCCTAAACGGACAGCGCAAAAAAAAAAAAAATAGACAGTCAAAGACTGCATGTGGCTACTAATGTGGTACAATTTTCATAGCATTGAACAGAACTAGAGGTTGTATAATAACGCTAGAAGGTAGTGTTGCAAAAGATTTGTCTCATATACTAAACAGAAAACCTGCCGCATATTTATGAGTACCCTGTTCTACAAGAGAAAGGTGATTCAAGCTTCGAAGCTTCCATGATGCGCAGATCACATTTATTGAAATATTTTCAGGAAAAAGTGCTGATTTATATTATGCGTCGGTGGATGCTACTGTCAAATTATTTTGAGATGTTTATCGTCTTTTGTAGTGTCACGGAAAGACCTGAAAAAAATCACATATTTGGAACTACATAATTTGCTGTTTTAAACAGTAAAAGGCTCTCTCTCTGAAGAAAAAATTTCCCAAAGTTTCATGATGCGCCGATCACGCCTATAAGGATATTTCTGCAAGGAAAACTTGTCTTTTTAATAGCGAGCAATCCTGAAATGATTGTGAGATGTTTATAGTCTTCTGTTGTTTTTCGTAGCGTCACGGCAAGAACTGAAGAACATTGTGCTAGTGTCTATATGCCAGAAATCACAAATCACTTTTTCTTTACTTACAGAAACGTAAAAAACCGGTGAGAATTTAGTTTAGAGAGCGTAGCACCGTACACAAAAAAGGGTTAGCCATGTCGAAACTCGAACAAGCCCCCGCCACCAAAGTCGATCGTCCGAACAATCGCGATTTGAGGCGTTTACTGGCTGTTACTTCGCTTGTTCATGTCTGAGAAGCATTTCGGAGCAAAATTTAAAATACGGGTGCGTATCAGTTCATTGAATTGGCTTAAAGACATTCTGAATTTTCATTTAGTTCATACAGCAATCTTAGACATGTCAGTATTCCAATGACCTATAAGCATTTTTGTGACATTAAGTGGCAAAGTCAAATGACTGTACTTGACTTACTTGCCTCGATTTCGCGTAAGTATAGTCCAAATATAAGTATCCATGAGCACTTGCGAGCAGCTCTGAATACATTGTGCATACACGAGTACCAATAACCGACTGCGTCACAGGATCGGAGCTTAAAGGAATTAAAGGGAGTTCTGAGTTTATGGAAGAATCTGTCAATTTTCCACTTAAACTAAGCTTGCTACTCACTTGGAGACTGCGATATGCTTGACGAGCTACACATCGAATTCGAAGGATTTTAAGTAAGCTGGAAATTTCATAACTATTTAAAAACAAACGTTTACTCACTACCTTAAAACAACTTGCGAGAGCAATGTATTAAGTTTAAAGTTTTCAAATCAAGTTCTTTACTAGTCTGTCTGCTTTAACACCGTAACAGTTCCCATACAAAGTTTCAATTCGGTCTGTTCGAAAACAACACAAGCATTCTGCCGTTTTAACCTTCAAACTGTGAGAATCGCTGAATGTCATCTCTCGGTGATACACTTTACATCTTGTATAGGAAGATACGCTTAGATACGAAAATTCGTTGCTCGGGGTGTCTACTATGATAGAAAGAGACTCAGTTTAAGAAGACAAAAAAATCGACAATCTTGTGATTTTAGAGCATGTGGGAAAAGAATCTAGCATGATTATATTACGTTTTAAGTTTAACGAAAACTTCTCCTAGTTTGGACAAGTATGGGCATGTTCATTAATTCATTCATTAATTTCCTCGTGTAATTTTATTAGAATGACACCTGAATTTAAAATAATGACGTAAAACTTTGACAATAGCGAATTGGAAGTCAAGTATTATGATGGCGGACAGTTTGAAATTGCCAAGCACTTCTGAAAGGGCCGAAAAAAGGCTCGCGTGTAAAAGTCCATTACAGACCCAGTACTTGCTCACAGGGACAAAAAGCAGAAAAAAGCCATAGCTTCTAAAAAATAAGGCTCTATTCATATCCGTAGGTTTATTTGCATGATTTCACGCCCGAAAGCATGACCCTCCTACCGAATCCTAACGAACAAATAAAACAAATAAATAAGTTCATTTAAGTGATCCTATCTTGACAAGCGGGGAGCGTTTCTTGTCATTCTTACGAAACCTAGTATCAGCATATTCGCGGAAACCGGCGAAGTTCAGCAAACAGTAAATTTGGCATCGGAGGTATCTATTGGATAATGAGGTATCTAAGAGAGGAACGGAAGGCTGAAACAACTGGCATGCAACTCTTGGCTTTCAGTTTCATAGCATATATGAACCCCCGTGATAAGGCAATGAAATGAGATGTCCGCAGAAATTGTTTGGCCGTATGAACGCATTGCACCAAAGGTAAAGCAAAGAGTGCGATTATTTCTTCAAAACTTTTAGAATAGCATAATTTAGCATCTTACAGGCTCTTAGACTATGATCGCGTGACTTCAACTAATTTTTCGTTACTAAATAATAATAATAATTAAAACACTCTGAGAATGTAAATGTTGTCTACGATACAAGCGTTCTGTCACCCTTTGGTCATATGAATTGTTGCGGTTTCTCTTTCCCTCATAAGTGGAACTTAAAGCGGAAGACTAAGACAAAAGTGATGGTCTCACCCACATATTCGATTGAATTAAAGCATGAACGAAACACCCACGAAGTCAAAGGGCGCTGATGTAAGGAAATTACGTAGATCAAATGATATTCTGTACTCACGATCTCACTGAGACCGAAAAATTCACTTTCTAGATCGTTATACCCATACCTGCCCATATACAAGAAACGTAGCCGATAACACAGTGTATATGTGTTTCATGTTGTACTAATCAAGTGAATTTAGTTAAAGAACACTTTATCTTCCTCCCATAGCACACCAAGTCAGCCAAAAGCTGTTAAATTGTGTTCAGACACTCCACTATAGCCACCGAGCGTTCGCGTTCTATATCAGGTCATAAAAGTTCCTCTTACGTACGAAAGGAAAGCTGAACAAAAACATCCGAGAAACCGTTCAGAAGCAAAGAAGGCAAAACGGTTTAAGGTCGTATCGTATGGACAACTTAGATATGTTCAGTAATTTACATGTAGAGAACTTGGAGATGTTTATTCACGTTTAACTACAGTCATGGAAGGCTGTGAAAAGACGTATTCCCCCTTATCATGGTATACATCGCTACGAAATTATTTCATATAGAGTTCTAGTCAAAAACTTTAACCCTTTGTGCTTAAGAGAGTCGAAAAATGATCATAAAAAACGAATGATTGAGGCTCGGTAAGCAAGCATGATATACTGTTTTGCTTCTTGACTAAAGATAGGTCCCTCAGGTTTTGTCATTACACTGGGGAACACTAAAAATAAGAGATACACTAGTAAAAATCTCAAGATAGCCAAGAACGATTGAGATATCTCCCGATGAAATGCGCCATATAATACACAAAGTACGCATATAGGCTACATATAATTATATATATGGCTGAAAGGACAATGCACCAGTGTATATCGACCATCAAACTTACCATTTCTTCGTGGGTTCTCGTCAGTTAAATGCATGTATATCAGCACGATGGTAAACGCACATGGTACGCACATTTTTGCTAACGCCAGCACTTTTTACTGCTCAAATATGTTCGATCTAAAATGGGGGTGAATACAGCACATGTATAGTGCCACTACATTCGATTGAGATGCGAGACAAGTTGGAAGTAGCCAATAGGTGACGACAATCTTAAAGTGTCACGTGCTACTTGAATTGTGTACCTAACTTACGTCACGAACTCGTGGCACGGTTTGAATCTGATTAGTTGATAGGGAAACGTGAATTTTCTAGACCAATTACGTAGAAAAAATCTAATGCTTTTCGTTTTCGAACCTCAATGAATTTGCACTCATTAAAGTTATAAGTTTCTAGTGCGGGTGAGCTGTAATATAAGAAAGTGCAGAAAAAGAGGCTTGAAAAAGTTCATGCCTCGACAAAATCTCATATTCTGGTTAGTCGCTAAAAAAAACTTGGCTAAAGAGGCACATGTTGGGAACAAGGCAACAGTGCTGATGGGTTTCTTTCATTCCGCGTAAAGGAATATGTCACAAATGGGAAATATGACTGAAACAGTTCGTATTTTGACCTTTGCATGGAGGCCTGAATTTTTCTTTAAATTTCTATAAATTTCTAGAATTGCAACTCACTCGTAAGAACCATAACGTTACTTAGTACCATTCACAAATCAAAACGTGCCTCCTTTTGTATTAACTATTTGCACAATGTATACATATTTCAATGTCGATAGAATACGATAAGTCCGATGGCCGATGGGTCACTGATGTAACTGTGGTAACATGACTTGTTTCATACTTAATCAGCGTCTTGTTTTCTCAAATTTGCTGTGATACTTGAGTCCAAGTTGGTTGAACTATAACTATTGGGAATTTTGAAAATGTAATTGATTTGTGGCCTAATCGTCCGGGCGCCGAGTTGTCCTGAAAAGGACCGTTGTCGGCGCGGTGACTGACGGTTCGACAACCTCAGCGGAAGTCATCATCAGTAGAATCAACTTCCGCTCAGGTTGCCAAAACGTCAGTCACAGTCAACGACAGCTGTTCTTTTCAAATTATTTACACCAGGACGTTCAGACCACATGATCAGCTGTTTCCTCCGGGTTCAAACCGTTCACCTTACTGTTGAATATATGGTAGACAAAATATCACATGAACTACGTCTACATTCCCTGAGTTTCGGAAAGTTTAACGTTTCACTCGCCTTCAAATCTGAGAACGTTCAAGATCATTAATAGTTGGTGGGGCTGAAAAACGTGCGAGAATGTCACAGAGTTGACCAAAGTTGCTCTCAGAAATCAGAGGACAATTAAGAAGTTTTTCGATTGTGAATTTTTCGAGAACGAACAATTTTCGGAATGTTCAACTATGGTGTTCAAAAGCTAAGTTGTGTTTCTTTGCTGAGAGATCTTAAGTAAAACATCTAAGCTTATTATCCGGCGTCCTGCCTACGTCCTACACTGTGCGGAAAACCTCGCCCATTTCAAATTAAAGCTTTGAAAAATCCCGCCATTTATTTCTAGTCCTGTTATTGCTTCCTTGCATTTGTTCGCAAAAGATATCCGGGTGTTTTTAATTTTTCTCGCTTGTGCTAAAAAATTCCAAAATTGACTCCCATTCGCTAAGATTTTCTAGCATGGTGGGAAGTTAAACTACCTGTCCAAACGACGGGTGTAACCATAATCAAGAGTTTGTAGAAGACCTAAACGGTGGCTTAATATGTTGGCCTTGCTGCACCTTGCAGCGCGGCGCGTTGACGTTTATTGGTTCTTTTTACTTTGCCTCGTCCACTGTCGTTTATCCCCACATAAAAAGAGAAAGCGCCAACGTAATTTTAAAAAAAATTGTCGAATGGATTTTGACCTGTCATCTCCAAAAATAGTTCTGCTTAACAAGGTTTGATTCTCACATGATTTCCCACAGCAAGATCCGTTAAGTCGAATTTGTTCAATGTAATAAGGAATAAAGGGGGTAAGTTTTTAGAGAAACTGTGGTGCTGCGTCGGTGGGAGAGTATGGAAAGATAATTTGTTTTTATCAACTGACTTGATAATGTAAATTGGCGTCCGCAGAGGTTCTTAGCCGACGTCTTGAGCGTTAGCCCTTTGTCAGAGTGAATAACGAAGGGTTAAAGCTCGAAATGTCAACTTTTAAACCATTTACGGTGGCCAATTTACATTATCAACTCAGTTGATAGAACCAGATTATCTTACATTATGAAATAGCCTAGTCTTAGCAATGAATATGATTTGCGCTTCAACTTATGAATAGACAATTTTCGAGAAATTTCAAGGAGTCTCGTGTAAAGAATAAATCCCGAGAGTGAAGCCTGTGCTTAAACATGTTAAATTCTTGGAAAAATATAGGAATTTAGATGGGTGGTAATCGTGCTCATACGAAAGGGATACAGTGCCATTACTACTACGAATAATCACATGAACAACAACGACTGTCTCGTTCAAACATGGCGTTTGTTACAGTTTTCCTTAGGGCGCTTAGCAGTATGCGCTTGGCTCGAGCATTATGTTTTAGCAGTGATTGGTATAACTGTAGATGTATTATTACACAGTCACATGAAGCTAACCAAATACACATTCAATTTACTTCAACACGAGTCTATCAATGTTTTTTTACCTCAAGGAAGAGCTGTTACTTGTCGATGTTTTCGCTCTCTGCTCCTGAAAATAACTTTCCCACTGATCAGACTGACGGCATAGGATGTCACTTTGTGTTTGCAGACCGAGTAAAATGCTCAAGAATTCCTTTCTCATGATTTCTTTATCACCCTCACCGATTCAAAGGAGTGAATCTTGCTTTGCTAAATTATTATCAACCGGCATGGCGCACCTGTAAATGGAACACAATGAAAAGATCTTAATCAATCTGGGGGACTGGGAACCAAAACATCACATTCCAAATACAGCTCACCTATTTTTAGCGTCAAAATGCATCTCCTTGAATATACAAAAAGTAAAGATATAAGTTGAAAAATTAAAAAAAAAAACAAGGGAACAAACATTTTTAAGGATGGCGAGGAACAGGTTACAAAAAGTGATGTTAAGTGTTGCAGTGACGTCGGTCCTCTAAATACACATCCGCCATCAGACCAACACTGGCTTTTTTACGAGTGGTTTTTGCGCGATATGAAAACTAACCGCCGAGGAGGGTTCTGGATAATATAAATAAGCCCTTTTCTGGTTTACTAGTATGTGGCGAGACAAAAACTTGAGTGGGTCTTCCTTTCCGGTACCAAGCTATTCCCTGGGGGTGGGTTCAGGAAACGAAAACCGCTATGGCACCCCTCACGTTATTAATTTTCAACGCTTCAGCGAAGGGGGGAGGCTTGTTGGAAGGGGGGGGGGGATAAAAGAGAGGAATGTACGAAATAAGGGGCAAGGAGGGAGGGGCTGGGTTTATAAAAGAGCAGGGCTTAAAAAACTTGAAGCTCTGGACGGGTTTACGAAAGAGGGAAGCTCGTTAGAAAGGACAAAGGTTGTAAAAGTGTTAACGCTAACATTTACATCAGTACACGTCGGAATTGAAGTTCAGAGAAAGATTTAGATTAGGGAGAGACTTATGCATGAAGCGAGATTTAGATAAAATACCTTTGCCCTATCGATCGTGTCGTTCGATCGTTTGGATGAGAACGGTCTTGAAAAGGACTGCGGTTGGTGAGAGTGAGTGACGTTTTGACAACCTGAGCAGAAGTATTTTACCAATGTCAAGTTCAAGGTTGCTTGTTGAAGGATTGTGATGGATTTTGTTCTTGAAAACTTTTGGTCAGCTGTGATATACCGCGTTGTCATGGGCTGCAAGACTCAAGTGCCTTCTTCATCATTTCAGCATCAGGACACCGTGCTGGATGTGCAGCTGGCCCGGATGTTATTTATTAATGGGAGTTTAACTTCGTTCGTTGCGGTTGTTTTAACTGGTTTAAGTGAAGGCTTTCTCTGTTTTACATGAGGAAAACCTATGAGGAAATCCGTGTTCCTTGAGTTGTCGGGGAGGCTGAAGTTGATTCTTGCGGTCTCCTCTCTTCTATGCGGCAAAGCATCTCCTAACACGAAGAAGTTCTGTATGCATTAAAGTGTGATTACTTTTAGGATTATAGAGGAAAATAAAACGATATTTAGATTGTCATATTTACTAGTAGAAGATTTGCAGATATTTCCGTCATTGTGCACATAAATAAAGGAAATTAAACAGATTGTGTAAAAAAACCTTCTCTTCATCTACAACCTAATGACACCTTTGCCGTTTAATCGGTTTTGCAGGTTGTCACTACTTTTCGATAGAATGTTAAATTGTTTTTTCACGCAAAATAGTTGTTCGTCTTAAATATTACAACAGCTTAACGAAAAAACCGAGAGTTGAACGAGATATTAATAATGGTAATTGAACTGAGTGAATGCAAGTGGGTCTGGAATCATTTGCGCGATTTCAAAATCTAACGAGCGCGCAGTATGATTTCAGACCAAAATTGCGCGACACGAACTTCAATTACCACTTCAGTTATTACATTCATTTTGAAATCGCAAAATTCAGTCTCACAGATACAGTCTTCACCCACACATTTTATTGATCTAATACTGAACTAACTTGTAAAAGTTTCAAAAATTGTCTGACTTTCCTGCGATTTGATTGGTCACTTTAAACAAGCATTGAAATCTGATTGGTTGTCGTGTTTTAGGAGAGCTTTCTCATTGGCTAGGAAAAATGTGCAATTTAGAGGAACAATTGGAGCGATTCGTGAATAAATCGCACCAACGACAGCCAATCACATTGCAAGGATCATCAGTGATTTTAAAATGGATGAAATAAAGAGAATTAAATAACGTGCAGACAATCTAATTGGCTCATCGCAAAGAGGATTCAACCCGAGGTGCATGAGTTACTATATCAACAATCGCAGAACGAGTTTAACTCTAAGCGACGAGAAGCTAACACAAGATACGAGGAGAGAATTAAACTCAAAGTGCGTACGATACATATTAACAATCAGTGTAGGATTAAACCATAGCGCGCGGAAAACTAGTGCAGCTATCGAAGAGAGGAGTAAATTCAGCGTGCGCACGGTACTAACGTTCGGTAACAATGGCAAAGAGCTAAGATTAAAATCAATTGTGTCATATAAAAACGTAACAATCTCAA